GTTACCTCTGATTCAGGGGTAATGTCGGAGATTTGGGGTATTGACACAACGGCCTTGGTCGGCGTGATATCCCGGTTCCTGGATTATCTTTTTGTAACAATCGTTAAACTCAGCACGTCTGACCATACACCTAGCGACCAAAGAGTTATATTGAGTCTGTCGTGATGACTCCTATTGAGTCTGTGTGATGACTCCTATTAAGTCTGTCGTGATGACTTAACGACCAGTCTGTCGTGATGACGGTCAGGATCAGTCTGTCGTGATGACGGTCCCGTGATTCAGTCGATGACGAATCCGTAATAGTAGTTGGGGTACATTAATGTAATGGTAGATAGTAGATTAGTGCATGTGTTATCATGAGTCGGTTGAATACGGGAGATACTCATAAGTCTTTTTCTAAAAATAGGTGTTGGCCCCGACAATCCGATCATATCGCCCTTATCGCTTGCCAAAGGAGGATAACTCGTTGTCGTTTCGTCACCAAGTAAGTGACTTTAATACTACCCTGACATTGTTGCCCATATCGAATTTGTTTACGTACTGCCCGTGTAGTAAAAATGTAATGGTACGGGGCGGTACTTCGAAATCTTCTAAGATGAGATGTTTTCACGGTTATCGTTATATTGCTATTATCATATTATCAATTTCGTATCCTACAATATATAGATGTATATTACTCTTGGATGTCTACGCATTCTGGAAAACCATCTTGAAGAGAAAGAAGCTCAGAAATAGAACTATTCAGCAACCAGAAGACTTCCGTGAAAAAATCTTCCCCGTAGTTGAATCTCAGAGGGGGGGAGTTATATCAGCCGTTTCTGCCGATATGATAGGAATAATGCTGACCATGCCACTAATTTCCTAGAAGACCTAGAGTTACTTTATTGTTCTCAACACATTTGACAGGCAGTCAGATTTAAGCCTTTGTGCTGTTAACATCATAATGACATTGTAATAATATTGTTAAAGTACATTTTTGAGTTTTGTATTTTCGAAAAATAAACTTTTTAAAAAGCGATCTCGAGGCATCAATTCTATAACTCATGCGATACACTGTCAACACATGCGTAGAATTTATTTCCGGCTCGTTCTGCTCAGTGTGTCGACAGTGGGCGTTTGTTTACATGTTGAGTGAAACACGTGTGGATGGCTTTTAACGAAAACAGACGTAAGTACAAATCATTCGTAAATGTATTTGGTTTTAAATAGTTGTTATAATGTTCCATAATAAGTATGTTATTTTATTGCGGTGAACTTTCTCGCTAAGGGTACCGACTAGACGAAATAGAAGAAGTATCGTTGGTGATACTTTGGGTCTCTAACAATACAATTAATGAAAAAACAAAAAAAATATTGAATCACTTTACAGATATTGTATTGTTTCAGGCCATTTGACTGACAAAGAGCTTTAGGAATTGGCTGATGCGATAGATCTAAATAACTCTGACATAGATGATGAATTTCTTAGCGAAGATCTTGATGGTGATAACCTTGGAGAGGGTTTGTTGACCGAGCAAAATTTTGACCCCTAGCGTGTTTAATTCCATCACATTTCAAAAAGTGAATACGCAATAAAGTCTTTGATCAGCCGAACCTCCTGGATTCTGTAAATTACAGCGACCAAGTTAAAAGACCTCCTAAATATTTTCAAAAATATATTAATGATGACTGCTTTGAAAGTGTTTCTGAACTTACAAATATCAGAGAAGTAAGCAATACGGGAACGTTCATTGAATACTACTGCTATCGAGATTGGAAAATTATTTGATTGTATCATGCTAATAGGAATTTATTCACTACCACGTTTGCGAATGTTTTTGGCTAACAGCGCTAGGGAGGTACCCGTACAGTGTCTTATAACATCACAAGAAATCGTTTTTTAAGTTGCGCTCTCGTTTAAAAGTTGTAGACGACAGTAGGGTGTCCGCAAAGGCAAAATCGCTTGATAGATTCTGGAAGGTAAGACCCCTCCTTAACAGAGTACAAAAAGGATGTCGCATGAATGAAAGAACCAGCGTCCATCGATGAACAGATGATACCCTTTGCGGGTCAAGTCAATTTGTGTGTGGTAAGCCTAACCCAGTAGGCCTCAAAAACTTCGTAATGGCTACTCCGACTGGAAACCCGCTTGATTTTTACATCTATGAAGGTAAGGGCTCATCGGTAGAATCGGCGTTATTAGCAGCCCCAGAAAAATTGGACGAATGGTCCTCAAAATTGGCAAATACTCTTCCTGTAGGAGTTTCTGTATTTATGGACAGATTTTACTTCGATCCCCTTAATAGATTTTCTTTGCTCACGTACCTTAGCCGAAAGGATAATGGCTAACAGAATTCCTTAAAGTGCTAGTCTTCTACCTGATAATGAACTGAAAAAGAAAGAGAGAGGAAGCTATGATCACCTTGTGCGGGACGACGGAAAAATAATATTTGTGAGATGGTTCGATAACGAACCTGTAAACTTTGCTTCACCCTGCATTGGCGTGGACCCAGAAAGAAATTTTAGTGGGGGTCTAAGGTTAAGAAAAAACCTGTTGATGTCAATCAGCCAGCAGTTGTTAAAAACTACAATGCAGACATGGGCGGTGTAGATCGCGTAACTGGAAAATATGCAATGAGCAATCGGACAAACAAATGGATTGTGCGAACTATTTTTCATTTTATCGATTTCTCAGTAGCAGCAGGCTGGCTTGAATACCGCGAAAATGCTAAAGCTGCCGGCTTACCTAGAAAGGATATTATAGTTTATTTTGATTTCAAACTATCTGTTACCAAAGCACTGGTATTCGAAAATCAAGACCAGGATGATATAGAATCTGAAGGAGTTCAACCAGGGAACAAACGACAAAGCGTCCAACCTATTATAGGCTTCAGGTAAATACACATTTGGTAGAATTTATGAAAGACATACAAAAATCTCGATCTAAGTGCCGTTTACCTACGTGCGATAAAATAACTTTTGCGAAATGTAAATCTTGTGGAGTGTATTTATGTTGTAGCATGGAAAGAAATTGGTTTTTAACTTTTTACAAATATTTAACATTTTTTTCCATTTGCTTACTTACTTTTTTTTATATGCCTAGAGACCCAAAGTATCCTTTGTGATACCTAATTTTTTATAAAAATGGGGATAAAATTTTGGAAAAATACAGTAATTGTTGGCTTTTGTATGTCCAAACAACCAACTGACTAAAAAATCAACAATCATTTAGAAGTAGAGTTACTCTGGATCTGAAGAGGATAGGTATTACAAAACAAAAACTAGTTTTTTCTATTATCGGCTCTAAATGAAAACGCATTTCCAATGATATTCTGTAAGCTACTAGCGATTTAGTATGAAATTAAAATTACAACTATTTCAGAAGCTACCAATCGCCGCAAGAAAGTGAGTAGGCTATGAAAATTTAGGATGTTTACAAATAGCACTTATTTGAAAAGAATAGTAGGCTGTGGAAAACAAATTAAAGTCAATTCAGAGCGTACGCATTATTGTTTCCTTATTTGACATTTAGCAATCTTTGTTTCACTGAAATTCATAAATAAAGATAAAAAGTAAACGTACAGCATTTTGTTACTACAAGTTTTACAAGAAACGAGCAAGTTGATATGCTATTAATATTCAGTGACTGCAGAACAAATTCTAGAAATGCTTGTGCGTTGTACACTCAGAAATGTCCTAACAGAAGAAGTGATTCATATTTTTTCAAGTTAGAGGCAAAGTTTAGAAATGAGGATGTCCATGGTGATGAAGATAACTCTTTTGCAGTAAGTGAAGCAGCAGAGATAAATAAAATAAATCACTTTGACCAATGGTATCTACTTGGCAACTGTAACAGGCAACAAATGTACATTGTAAGTCAGCGAGGCATATTTTGAAAAATCATGTATTCTGCTCATATAAATATCAGGTACACCAGGGCTGTCCAACTTCAAAAAAAATGCAGTTTGGAGGGCCGCATTATAAAATCTTTCTATACAACATTATTACAGAGTTAATGTAAGGATTGTGCATATTCGGTATTTGAGAGTAATTTATACATGTGATGTATACATGACCCGTGAAGCGGGCCGCAAGAAAGGAAATCGCGGGCCGCATGTGGCCTGCGGGCCGTATGCTGGACAGCCCTGAGGTACACCATTACTTATATGAAAATGATTTTCCAAGAAGATTGGCCTACTGTAACTGGTTTCGTCCTCAACTTAAAGAAGATAGAAATGTTCATTATCTGATGAATTGCGTTTTACATATCTTGGGTTATTTAACAAAAATAATACACGTTACTGGGCAACTGAAAATCCACGTTTGATAAGAGAAGGGGCCTTTCAGGACCGTTTTGGAGTGAACATGTGGCTCGGAGTTCTGGGAACCCGCATAGTTGGGCTTATATTTTTTTCTCAAATGTCAGGAAAAAATAACAGTGATCTTGGAATAAATCTGGTGTAGAACAAATAACTGCCTGGTAATTTCAAGGCCTACCTAGGAAATTCCGCTGCTTTAAATAACTAAGATTTTTCAATGCCAATGTATGGCATATTATACATTTTTGGAATCAAAACTAAAAACTGTATTGATCTATGCAAAAATCCAATCCAATCCATAAGAAAAAAGATAAAGTTGATGCTGGATGACAAGAGGAAACGTCATACTGAAATTCTAGTTATGTCATCTTGTAGAAGAGAAAAAATGGCAATGTAAATACCTATGCAATGTATTTCAAAATCCCACTACAAAAAAAATTAAAACGATTTTGGAGAAACTCGATTTTTTCTGTCTCTTTCCGGGAGTACATCCACACATTCGAAACGGCATTTTATTGATTAAGTGAAACGCAACTTTGACCCCATTTAAGCGAATTCGTATCTCTTACAGTTTCCGAGATCCCAACGGTGAGGATCGATTTTGAAACACCCTCAATACGTCTCTGATCGTATGCGCTTCTTTCGTGACTCAATGAAAAATCAACATCAAAGTGTTACATAACCCCACTATCACCAACTCACCTGGGCCTTTGCTTACTGGCGCAACTGAACATGGCAGGTGACACCGCTTACATACCACAGACTTCACAACTTCTAACATTTTTCTGAGTTTTTATGCAGATTAGGATGTCTATGAGAACCAAGTGAATACGTTAACTAGAAGAAATTACGTCTTTTACCCAAGATAAACCGAATAAACAATCACACCGGCCTACTAACGCCAACAGTATAGCATGGGGACAAAACGTGATTTAAGTGACAAATGAAGTACCCACAATAAACCTTTCAATATCGAAAAGTGCTGAAATCTCAATTAGTGGTATTTATTCTTATTTGACGCACGGTAAACAGACGTATGCAAGGTCTGCAAAAATGCTGGGAAGCAAAGAAAGCAATTTCGTATCAGCAAACCGACAACGGAGACTCAACTAAGAAATATGCGATGTTGCCAGATAGCAAAAGTAAAATTATATGAAAGGCGGAAGGTGAAGTATGGAAGTTATAGTCTTTGCACCCACTTTAGTGGTTCACAGTCCATGGTAAAATTACCAGTATCACATCTGTAGGATACGAACGAGATGATAATAATGGAATATAACGACAAACGTGAAAACCACAAACCCATCTTAGAAGGTTTCGAAGTACCACCCTGTACCATTCGATTTTTACTACATGGGCAGTACGTAAGTAATTCAGTATGGGCAACAATGTCAGGATAATATTAAAGCCAAGGAGTTGTCCTCCATTGGCAAACGATAAGGGCGATATGATCGGATTGTCGGGGCCAATATCTATTTTTAGAAAAATGACTTGAGTACCTCCCATATTCAACCGACTCATACCTTAGGATTACATTAATTATCTGCAATCGTACCAATTCATCATCATTTATTTCTGATTTATCGTATACTGGTCCGCAGACCCTAAGACACACAGTCCTCCACTTAGGCAATTTTAAGCACACAGCACCTTATGTTGATACCCAGGCGTATAGACAGATATGCTGAGACTTTGGTGGGAATTTTGTAAAGAAGAAAATAAGAATGTATTTTCAGTATCTATACCAGATGTTTTAAAATTCCTAACATTGTATTTTAATGAAGGTGCTTCTTATGGCACCTTAAATTCATATAAATGTGCAATAGGTCAGATAGCAGGGTCAGGTTTCGCAAATGATTTTAGGCTTAAAAGATTTTTCAAAGGGATTTTTAATTTGCGACCCAATGAGGCCAAGTACAATACAACCTGGGACCCCTGTATCGTCCTTAGCTACATAAAAACTTTTCCGAAGGACATTTCCTTACAACAATTAACTTATAAATTAGCAGCGCTTTTGGCTCTCAGTACAGGACAACGGGTACAAACGTTGGCTAGTATTGGAATCTCCAATATAGTGATAGCTGAGGATGGCATCACCATCAAGATTCCTAAGCGACTTAAAACTTCTGGTTTAAATAGACTGCAGCCAACTCTAGTTCTGCCCTTTTACAAGACAGATCCTTCATTATGTGTAGCCAAGTGCTTAATTCAATATTTAAAAGAAACGGTGAAATTAAGAGACACCCACTGCAACTTATTATTTATTACCTTTAAGAAGCCTTTTAAAAATGCAAAATCTAGCTCAATCAGTAGATGGATAAAAGTAGTTCTTAAAATAGCGGCCTTGATATATCCATATTTACTGCCCATAGTACACGACATGCAGCCACATCTGCCGCGGCTCGCAAGGGAGTTAGTATGGATGTAATTAGGCTAGCAGCAGGATGGACTGACAAATCAAAGACATTTGCCAATTTCTATCAACGCCCTTTGATAAAAAAGTCTAATTTTGCCGAGGCTGTTTTGGGCTCATAGTTTCTGAGAAATTACATTATCTAGATAAGTTCAATGTTGTTTCTCTATTTATACTTATGTATTTAGATTTAGGTTATAGAATTAACCTTTTTGTTGTTTCCTTCAGTTAATGGTTAACAGTTCGTTTTGTTCCAAGTTTGTATATTTTTGTTTTTCAGAAAATAAACTTTATGAATATTTATAATTGTTACTAAATTCTTTAAACATCTACAGTATTCTTAATTACGAGACGAGGCGGAATATAATTAGCAGATCAAACGAACTTACCTGTAGTGAAGTTCGATCTGAATTATATGAAGCCTCGTCGAAGTAATTAAGTCCCTCCCGACCCAGCCCTAAGCATACAATTATAAATATTTGATTTGCTTTAAAAAGAATGACCTAGTTCGCCGGAGTCGGGGATCAGCGGAGTGCAGGGAATCGAAAAATCGATATCTTCAAAATGCGTGTGGTTGGATAGGAAGTGGAAGTTACTACAGTATTCTTAATTACTTCGACGAGGCTTCATATAATTCAGATCGAACTTCACTACAGGTAAGTTCGTTTGATCTGTTAATTCTAAAACGCTTCCTAGACTTTCATATATTTCGCCTGTCGGCGCTGACGGTCAGCGGCCGGTCAGCGTGACTCTAGCCTAAAGCGTAGCAGATTTATATACAGGGGGATAACTTATACCCTGTTAAGTACTCCTACCACATATGAGCCTTATATGGGATTGTCCAAAACGGACGCAGGAAAGTAAACGCATATTAAAACAAGAAAGATTGATACTCAAATCAAGTTGGGTACTTTATTTTGAAGGTTCATTTATACCATTTATGTATGAAAAATAATATCGCTCAAATGTTCACCACGACTGGATTTACAGACGTCCACGCGATGGTCGAAATTTTCAATGACATTTTACAACATGGTCGGTTCTATGGCATTTATCTCGGCAATGATGTTGTTTTTGAGTTCTTGGAGGGTGGCTGGTTTGTTGACGTAGACTTTCCTTTTCAAATATCCCCATAAAAAGAAGTCCAAGGGAGTCAAATCGCACGATCTTGGTGGCCATGGCACATTTCCTCTGCGCGAAATCACGCGATCACCGAAGAAGGACTGCAATCGATGGATATTGACGTTGGTTGTGTGGCATGTTGCACCGTCTTATTGGAAATAAACATCGTCCATATCCATTCCTTCAAGTTGCGGCAAAAAATAGTCCTCTATTATTACGTAATATCGCTCAGAATTGACGGTAACGGCGTCCCCGGCCGCATTTTCGAAAAGTAAGGTCCGATGATGCCTTTTGACCACAATGCACACCACACAGTCATTTTTTGAGGATGCATCGGCTGCTCTTGATATTCACGGGGATTTTCGTTCGCCCAGATGCGGCAGTTTTGCTTGTTTACCGTCCCATTCAAAGTGAAATGCGCTTCGTCGCTGAACATGATTTTTGATGAAAAATTGGCATCAATTTGGCGGTGTTCAAGGAGCCAATCTGAGAACGTTCGGCGCGGAAAATGGTCGGCCGGACGCAGCGCTTGCGTCAATTGGATCTTGTAGGCGTGTACGTATACATACATTCAAATCCTTGTGGAGAATGCGGAGCAAACTGGTTCTCGAAATGCCCAATTCTTGGGATCGACGCGTTGTTGATTGTTTCGGATCGTCTCTCACACTCTCCTTCACAATAGCAATACTTTCCGGTGTGCGAAAGCTCCTTGGCCGGCCAGAGCCTGGCAGATTTGCCACAGAACCTGTTGCCTCGAATTTACGCACCAGACGACCGATGGTTGTTTCGTTTGGGCGGTTGTTGCGACCGAAATGTTCACGAAGCACGCGAAACGTGTTTTTTATTTTTGCACCATTTTTGTAGTGCTCTTGAATAACTTTAATGCGGTCTTCAATCGAACACGACTCCATAGCGATCAATGGTAAACATTCAACTAACAAAATGACATTTCGGTGACAGAAAACAAAGATAGCGTCTATGTCAAATTGACGTTTACTTTCCTGCGTCCCTATTGGACAACCCTTTAGATAAGGTCGCCCGTCAAGGATAAAGGAGTAAAAAAAAGTGATCACCTGAAATTCTCTAGCGCGTCAGATTAAGATAGGGTGAGTTGGTTACATGCTAAAACGTGTATATTTCACTAATCTGATAATTTGAGAGTGACGTAAAAATGGGGGAGGGCTACAAAGTTGTAAAAGAAAACGTCATACAGACATTCTAGCGCGTGGCAAAACTTTTTTTCATTTTGAAGCCGAAGTAACAAAAATTCATCGATAAAAATTAATACGTGCAGCTATATAGCCTATATTCCCCTCTTCGCGTTTCTATCTCTCTCACTCTTTCTTTATATCGTACTCTCTAACTCCGTCCCCACTCTGGTTTCGGTTGCCATGACGCCATGACAGCTGATCACACAGACTCGTTCGTGGCATGATATTGTTTACAACGTATTTCCAAGGTTTTTACGTATTTTGTGATTTTAATATAAGTTACATGAATTAAAGTTTATAAATATTTACTATGAGTGATATTAATGTAAAGTGTCTACTTGTATATAAAAGATTTACTAATAATAATATTTGTGGTGAAACAACATTGCAAAAAACAATTAAATTTACATTAGAAACATTACAAAAATCTATAAGTATTTTAGAATATCGTCGGAACAAACCGTATTTACAAGAACAGCAAAATATAGTGGAATATGACAATGTATCGAAGTTTCTGGGAATAGCTCCAAATCACATGCTCCTATTTCTGGAGAGTGCTCGAAGTCACAAGTTGCTGTTTCTGGAGAGTGCTCCGAATTACATGCTGCTGTTGATTCCATGTCTACTGAGGCTGTTGGTACATTGACAGACTTGTAAGTGCTAATAATGCCTTCATATAGTAAATATCTCAAAAAAAAATTTCTTAGTAAAAATTTGTAAACCAAAAAAATCGTTATTTTAAAGGTACAACATTAATGTAGGATACGAATGAGATATGATAACAATGGAATATAACGATAAACGTGAAAACCACAAACCCATCTTAGAAGGTTTCGAAGTACTACCCTGTACCCTGTACCTTTTCACTTTTATTACGAGAGTGGTACATATACAACTTAACATGGGCTTCAATATCAGGATAATTTCAAAGCCACTTACTTAGTGACGTAACGACAGAGGAGTTAATCTTCCTTGGCGTGAGATACGGTCGCTAGAACTGGGTTGTCGGGGCCAAACCTATTTTTAAGAAAAACCTTTTGAGTACCTTCCATAGTCTACCGACTCATGACATGCACAACTCTACTGTCTATTCATTAGGTTAATTAGCTGTCTCGATACTGATCACAAAACAATATAATGATGGCCAAATTACTATACATTGCATGGGGGAACGGTAGCATCCTAACGCATTGAAGTCACGCCCGTGTCCATGATCAGGGGAACGGTAGCTTCTTACCGCATTGAAGTCACGCCCGATATGGAAACCTTAATAATCTGGTGCTTAGACAGATTTGCCAAGTATTTGATTGTCATGAAAAGCAGCCCAGAAACCAGGATATGACGTTGCCGGGCA